AGACAGACTTCTTCCTTCATGACCACATTCAAACTAGATTGTTTTGGGTTGTTTTGTTTCTGGCTTTAGACTGGAACCAGAACATGGCTCAGCACTCGCTCTATAGTTCCATTGTCCAGGATCTTCTTTCCAAGAAATGGTGCTCTTCACAGTGGGCGTGTCTTCGCACATCAGTTAAGACAATCAAGATAGTCCCCACAGACACGTGCATAAGCCAAACTGACCTAGAGAGTTCCTCATTGAGACTCTTTTCCTAGTTGATTCAGGCTGATAATTAAAAGTAACCATCTTTGGGCTAGAGAGATAACTCAGCAATTAAGAGCACTGGCTGCTCTTCCAGAGGATCCAGGTTCAATTCCCAGCATTCACATCACAGCTTAATCCCGTCCCAGTGAGCTCGTCTAGCTTCTGTAGGCACTGTACGAGTGTGGTTTATAGACATGCATGCAGGCAAAACACCCATATACATAAATAATAAGTTAAAAAATTTAAAGTAACCATCGTATCTACATATCCATATTTTCCACACTGGTCTCAATTTCTTAGTTTAATAAAACATAAAAGCTATTTTGCAAGGTTATTTGGAATACATACTGGTTATCTAGCCAAGTAAACAGCTTGCCTAAAAGTGTCCTTAAACTCCATCCCTAAATCCACGGCACCATAGAAGTGACTGCTGGTACCCGTGGGATTCTCCATGACTTTCACAGGCAGCAGGGATGAGCTGCAGGAGGGAAGAAGGCGGTTCAGCACAACAGGACTCTGCAGCCAATGTTTGCTTGGACTTCAGAAGCCTGACTCTGAGCTGTTTGTTTTAGGTGTGTTTGGAGACAGCACAATATGATGAAAACTGTTCTTGTGGTGAGTAACTCAGTCCCACATGCATAGCAAAGCATACCTAAGTCCCTTTGGGGAACAAAGTAAGCCACTGGTATCTCAATCAGACATGGCAACATCAAAACTCTCCATAAAGCACACATGACACTTTCCATAAAGACAGGTTCTCCAGACTGACTGAGAAAAACAAGGTAACGAGAATGGGTCTGGAAGATGGTCCAGGGCTGGAAGACATTTGGCCATGCAGACTGCAGACAAAGGTCACCAGGATAGTTAACATGTCTGCCCCAACCCTCTGAGTGGAAGAATATGCCTTGAAGGAATAAGCCTGTCTATCTAGCATTCCAGCTTCCCTTAGTGTATGTCTGTGAGCAGAAAGACCTCTGTGCCCCCTACAGGTACTCACGAGAATTCAAAACAATCCTATCCCCTTAGCTACAGTCCATTGGTCTAAAACCAGGCATTTGACCCAAGCTAGGCCAATCAGTTACATTCTCTGACAATTTGCAGAGTAAAATGATTTCCCAGTGAGGAATCCCTTTGAATGGAAGAAGTGAACAGGAGGCTGGAGAGCAGCCACATTTTCTGTCTTGTAGACTAAGAAGTACAGTAGACTCAGACGAGAGAGGGAAGGTGATGGTTCGAAAAGTGAAGAAAGAGAAGGGGGCAAGACACAGCCCAGTTTCCATGACAACTATATGAACTTCCTCTGCCCTACACTTCCATTGTGGAATAATTATATCTCATAAGAATTAAAATGTGTGGCTGGGGACTTGCTTAGTTAGTACAGTGCTTGCTACAATGATCTGAACTTGAATTCAGATCCCACTACCCATGTCAGAGATGGGTGTGGCAGCAAGCCCCTGTAACTCCAATGTCGGGGACAAGGAGGATCCCCTAGACTTGCTGCCCAACCAGGCTAGGCAAATCAGTGAGCTCCAAGTTTCAGTGAGAGATCCTGTCTCAAAAAGAGAGGGCAGAGAGGAACTGATGAAGATATGCAATGTATGTCTGGCACACTATGAACACATTCATACACCCATACACATAAAAAAGAAACAAAATGCTGTGTTTAATCTGAATCAATTAGCTTTCATTCATTTCCTTTTTTGTTTTTCAAGACAGGGTTTCTCTGTGTAACAGCCCTGGATGTCCTGGAACTCACTGTGTAGGCCAGGTTGTCCTCAAACTCATGGAACTTGCTGTGTAGACCAGGTTGGCCTCAAACTCAGAGAGATCCACCTGCCTCTGCCTCCCAAGTACTGAGATTAAAGGTGCCCACCACCATGGCCAAGCTGTTTATTTCCTTTAAAAATATTTTATTTTATGAAACCGGTTATCATTCTGTAGCCCAGGCTGGCCTGGTACTCACCACATAGCCTAGGCTACCCTCAAACTTGTGCAATCATCTTGCCTTAGCTTCTCTAGTGCTGTGATTATAAACATGAGCCACCACACCCAACCTGAGCTTTTGTTTCTTCAGTATCAAATATATCAAATATCAAATATATCAAATGTAAAATATCATTGGGTAGATAAGGGCAGACACCTGGCTCACTAAGAGACTTTCAGAGTGATACTGATCTGAGGGAACAAGGATGGTATGTCCCAACTCAGTTCCAATCACCTAGCCAACCTTTGAGCTGATGCATTTTATAGGAAAAAGACACAATACATGTGGCTGGAAATTGCCCAGTAGTCTCCTTGGCACCCAGATGCAAATGTAATTGTAGGTAGACTGAATGTGGCTAGAAAGCTCTTCAGTGCTCAAAGACTTCATTATGACACACAGACAGTTTCTTCTTCTTCTTCTTCTTCTTCTTCTTCTTCTTCTTCTTCTTCTTCTTCTTCTTCTTCTTCTTTTGTTTTTTTTTTTTTGTTGTTGTTGTTGTTTTACGAGACAGGGTTTCTCTGTATTGTTTTGGAGGCTGTCGGTCCAGTCCGGCATCGAATTCACAGAGATCCGCCTGCCTCTGCCTCCTGAGTGCTGGAATTAAAGGCGTGCGTCACCACGGCCCGGCTCAGACAGCTTCTTCTTGAGGGACAAGAATTTGGGGCCTTGAGAGATGGTTAACAATACTTGTTCTTACAGAGGACCTAGGCCCAGTTCCCATCACCCACATTGTCCTAGGTTTTCTAGTGCTATGATAAAACGCCATGGCTAAAAGCGCCTTGGAAGGACAGGGTTTATTTCTGCTTACAACTCTCCAGTTGTGACTTCACCAAGGGACGTCAAGTCGGGAACTCATGGCAGAAACCTGGGGGCAGGAGCTAAAGCAGAGATGAGGGAGGCATGCTGCTTTCTTCCCTGCTCCCCATGGCTTACACAGCCTGTGTTCTTACACCACTGAGGACCACCTGCCCAAGGGTGGGACCACTCACAGTGGGCTAGGCCCTCCCAAATCAATCACTAGTCAAGAAAATGCCCTACAGGTTTGCCTACAGGCTGATCATTTTCTCAATTGATAGTCCCTCTTCCCAGATACAGCTAGATTTGTGTCAAATCTACAAAACAAAAACAAAAAACCTAACCAATACATACACGGAGGCTCATTATGCCTGGAACTCCAGTTACAGGAGATCCAAACCCGTCTTTTGGCCTCTAAGGGCACCAGGGATACACATGTAGATGCAGACAAAACATTCATACACATCAAAGAAAAATACATATTTGTGTATCTTCCTCAATTCCTCTCTACCCTATATTTTGAGGCAGGGTCTCTTACTCACCTGGAGCTCACTGATTTGCCTACCTGTGGTTTGGTTTGTGGACCTTAATTGCAAATGACATATAAGCGCCATCAAGGCTACTTCCTACTGTGTATTATTCCTTTGTTCCGGTGTTCAAGAGCAGCCATAGCATACAAGGTGATGCCAGACCTCTTTTTTTTTTTTTTTTTAACCTTAACTGTTACCTAGAGTTAGAGGAAAGTGCAGCGTCACTTCCTCCAAGGCCAGGGCATAAAGTGTGTATGGTGTATAAATAGGGTCACTTAGAAAAGTTCCGGCTGCTTTTAGAGTGATGAAATCAGGTCAGTCGATAGAGTTTCCAACAGCTCCGCAGTCTGACTGTGGAAACAGGAACATATGTTTTGGAGTTGTGAAGTCACTTGTCTCAACAGCATCACTCAGTGCTGTATCGGTGTGAAATCTTCATGAGGAGTTGTCTGACCTACAAAATCTGATCAGAGATTTCAAAGCCTCTTGGGAAATTGTGTCACAGGCTGCCTTCAGGCTACAGTGTCAGTCTTTTAGCTGGTGGATTAGACTACTGATCTAAAGCACCCCTACTGTGGCCTGTTTGCGACCTCAGTAAAGCTTCCATGGCAAGAAAACAGAGGCCTTGCAAACGCAGCCACCATGGGTTTAAGATGCGCAGTTTTTAACACTCATGGCACCAACTTCTAATTTTTGCTCAAACTGAGCTTTATAAGGTGTAAACGCCTCCTCACGTCCTATTTCTCTCTAGAGCCATGGAATTATTGGCTGCATGCCAGATGTCATGCTGGCCACTGGTAAGAGAACAGAGTCTGCACCCATGGCTTCCTTGATGGGTAACCTTCAAATTGGGATCTGAAGGGCAAGTCCTGGTCACTCAGAAAGGGAAAAGAAGGTAGGGAGGGCAGGTGTTCGGGTCAAAGAAAGTGTGTTAAAGCTGTTCTTGAGCTACAGCTTAAACACACGCCTGTTCCTCGTGCTTTTGTTTTCTATGGTGGATGATGTTTTGACATCTCTTGACTCCAAACAACTCTCTAAAAGTTGCAAACTACACGCTTGTGAGCAGGCCTCTGTAATATGGTCCAAAGGATCTCAATCATATTCCTAACCAGCTCCTTTCACCAGGCTTCTGCAGTTCAGGTCCCCCCCCCCACTCTAAGTCATCCCAAGACCAAGTACAGGACAAGGGGAGGCCAGACCTGACTGAAGGGTCTAACAAATATTAAAAGATAAAAAGACCTGAGTCTGCTTATGCTACCTTGCCTTTCATTTTCCACCCTGCCCATGCTTGCCTTGACTCCTGACACCAGGCTGTCTGGTGCTGCCTCACATGGTGAGGCATAGCCTCTCTCTTAGGAGCTGAAAATAGCAAGCTTTCTTTCCAGGAGCCTGCATTTTCTCAGCAGTTGGCCTCGCCATAAAAAAAAAGATTTCAGACACATCTCTTAAAAAAAATCCGTCAGCTTTATTTCCAAACAGAAATCTCTAGTCAGTCTTAATTAAATTGCATGATGGTGCAACGTTGTCAAAGTAACTTTAACAAATTGAAGGAAGATGTAAAATGCTGTGGTTTGGCTTGTGGATTTTAGTTGCAGGATTTCTTTCTTTCTTTCTTTTCAAAACAAATTACACCTTAAAGCAGACCTAGCTCAACCTGTTATCAAAACAGAAATATTATCAGGATAAATACTGATGAGACGTGTTTGCAAATATACCATTAAAATATTTTTCATATAAGCTTTTCAAAAGGCTCTGATACTAATTCCACACTTGATAGAGAGTGTGATGCTTAGTCACTTGTTGAGGATTCTGTGTCTTGGTGCTTGGACACGATGCTGAACAAAGCAAAGCTCTCAGCCATGTGAAGCTCCTTCCTGGTGGAGAAGGAAGGGGTCCAGGAAGTCTATGGGATGGAAACGGGTTTGGTGCTGCAGGGAAACTATAGAAACAGGGCAGTCGGAGTAGCCTCACTAAGCAGGAGAGCTTTGAACAAATTCAGTTTGGGAACCTCAGAGACAGGCCTTCTAGGCTAAAGGTGCAGCTAACAGCAGGCCCTGAGATGGATTGTGTGTGACTGCTGAAGAAACAGAACAGTGATAAAAATAACACTATATGGCCTCTTTATCATCTGTTGTCATTTTTATTGGAGGAGTCGAAAGCATTGTTCTTTCTCTAGAAGGACAATGCATGACCATGGACCATGCCTAAACATCTCTCCTATAATGAGCTCCTCAATTATACATAAGGTACAACACTATTAAGAAAACATTTAACCTTATTATTCCATGTAGCTAGTATTTCCATTCATTACTAATGTTTAAGGTATTATATAAGGAAAGTAAAACACTGGATGCGGCTACCTAGTTGGTAGCTCAGCATAAGAATCACCTACAGAGCTTTTTAAAAATGTAATCCATGAGACCAGAGAGATGACTCAGTGGTTAAGAGTACTTGCTGTTCTCCCAGAGAACATGGGTTCAATTCCCAGCACCTACATACTGACTCACAACCACATATAACTACAGTTCCAGGGGATTCCTTGCCTTCTTCTGGCTCCTGTGAGCATTGCATGCATTTGGAACACAGACATACATACAGGTGGAACACACACCCACACACATAAAGTAAAAATGAATCTTTTACTAAAATGTAGTCCTGGAGCACATTCTTCAATATCATGCTTCCACAGACTAGGGTGGAGCCTAGGAATCTGATTCTCTGAAAGTTTTCCCAACTGACTATCTTATGTGGCATGTGTAGGGGGGCAGTGTTCACAGACACTCATAATGTCCCCTACAGTCTCCTCATCCCTAGCCAGTGCAGACAATTAACAATGGCAGCAATCTGAGGAGGGTGGTTTCATATAGCTCATCTCCTTTTCATTGCCCAGTACAGAAAAGATGTTGAATCTATCTTCATTGAATTACCCAACTCTGAGGATGTGGGAAAGCTTCGTTCCCTCTGTGAATGAACTGACCTCTGGCACAAAGTAGTCTTCTAGATAAATAGTGTGGTTATCCTGAGTCGGATCACCCCTGTGGGGAAGAATTTGAACTAGAGAGCCAGGCAGACACAGGTCTAGACGTTGTCTCTGCCATCCACAGATAGACACCCACCTCTCTCATGCTGCTTCTCCACTGGTTATGTGGAGAAGTTGCCACCCATTTAAGATAACCGCAAAGATTAAGTGAGAAAATGTATGCAAGGCTCTTGCCTCGTAGAAGGTGATAAATGTAGAAATTGTCTGCGCTCCATCTCCATTTTCTTCCATGCAGAACTGAAGACCATGGTTGTGTGGTGAGATTATGAGAAGCCAGATTCTGAACCACAGATAGTCTACCCCAAACCCAGCCAGCCTCTGAATGACCTCAAGAATGACAGGTGATATGAAACACCAGCTCATTGTCATAGTGACAGTGTTGGTCCTCAGTTTTAGGAATCAGTGCAAGTAAGCAGCAGAGAGCAAACTGTCGTGTAGACAGCACATCGTCATGTGTCTGGTGGCTGGAAACCCTGAGAACACGCTCTCCCAGAGTTTAGGAAGAAGGAAGGTGGCAGCTGGGCAGGCTCTCTCTGAAGGCTCTAGATCACGACCCCCCCATTGCCTTCCCCAGATGCTGCTGGCGTAGCAGCTGCGTCTGTCTCCTTCTTCATATGGCCTCATCCCTAACCTCAGTGTCCTCTGCTCTAGAGCACCAGTCATTGGAAATAAGTTCCATCCTAAATCCGGAATGACCTCATCTCAGGAGTCTCAGCCAATTACACATGCAGACACTGTCTCCATATTAAGTTAAGTTCTGAAGTTTGAGGTAGACACAAATGGGGTGAAGGGCACACTATTCAATCCACTACAACTCAGATTGCTAAATAGCCCCTGGGTCTGTTCTGTATTCACCCCCGAATAATACCATCTTTGACTTAAGTAGATCAGGGCAATTAAGAGTATGATCGAACGACCAAGTCCTAGCCAACAAACTGCAGTCAGAAGCCTGGTGTGACTGAGTCCTTAAGCTAAATCAGAAGCAGGTGTGTATGCTTCCTCTCTCTCTGTCTATTCTAGCAAATGAAATAGATGTGATGGCTTGACCTAAACAGCCATTCCGGACCAGCATGAAGGCACAGACTAAGGGTCTGGGACACAGACTTATTAATTATGAAAGCTCGGCCTATAACCTAGGCTGGCCCCACTAGCTCTTATAACTCAAATTAACCCATTTGTACTGTGTGGCTTTTTACCTCTCTTCCATCTGGCACCTCCTGTTTCCTCTCCATACCCTCGGGCATCTCTTGCATGCCTAGATTCCTCCTCGTACCTTCCTCTGCCTGGAAGTCCTGCCTATACCTTCCACCTAACTATTGGTCATTCAGCCTTTTATTACACCAACCACGATAGTACATTTTCACACAGCTTACAAATATCCCACAACAGGACCTAATTCTAACAAGTATTCCTTCTGTCTTCATTCCCCTGATGGATTTGATGTTTAAAATTTCAGAATTAAAAAAAATATATATATTGAACATTTTAATAAAAATCATGGTGGGTCCAAAAAGCAAGCCTTCAGTATCAAAATCTTATTGTTACAGCTACATTAATTGAGTTAATAATTTGCTGAGAGTTTATGTTATGCTTCACTATTATATGTGATTGTAACTTCTTTATGAGACAAACTGAGTAAGATCATTTTCCAATGAGGTTCCTTGGACTCTGGTTGACGGGGCCATAACCTTGCTGACCCAGGACATAGTATTCACAGTGTAGCCTCTGGGGTGCCACTACAAAGTGAACAATACCCTGCAAGCCCATGGCCACATGTATTACAAAGAAAATGAAAGAAGCAGAAGAGGTTTCACTCATTTAAGGAGTAGAATGGCCTTGAGACATCCAAAGTGGGCAGGTTTTAAACTGTATGTCAGAGTCACATTCCTGGAAAAGGTCATTGAGGATTCCACCGCAGATAACAGTCTCTCTCAAGGATCTTAAGCAAGTGTGTGTGTGTGTGTGTGTGTGTGTGTGTGTGTGTGTGTGTGTGTGTGTGTGTGGTCCAAGCAAAGCAACAGGTGATCGGGGCGGTGTGCAGTAGCCAGCAGCCCCCAAGCCCCACTTTTATAAACCAGTGAGGTTGACTTACACAGGCTCTGTGAGCACATGTACTGCCCGGGATTCCATTCTGTGACATCCTTACATGCATGAACAGAATAGCCACTTTCAGGAACGTTGCTGTTAGTCAGGTGTGCAGAGGGAAGCATGACGGGTTTTGTGCCGGCTGCCACAAGGCTCCAGGTAGCTTTTAGTTCAGTGACTTAAACAATTCACACAGCCAACTCCACGGGGTCCGAGTCCTGCATATGGGTGCAGAAAGCAGAATGTTGGGCACAGACTTGGTAACCGGTACAAGCGACTTCCTAGTTTATCTGGGCATTGGAGGGACTGAAGGGATGGATCTATACTGAGCTTCCGCAAATAATTCCTTACCCTTCAATCTTTTTTATGGAGTAGGGAGTTCCATCACAATGTTGATAGATACAATATACTTTGATCATATTGTCACCTCCCTACACCCTCTCTTGTCCCCCTCTCCCAATAGGTCTCCTTTTATTTCCGGGTTTTTCTTTTCTTTGTGTGTCTGTATGTGGTGTGTGTTTGTACCTATATTTGTGTATGTACATATATGCGCATGAATGTGGGGTCAAAGGGCAATGGTAAGGTAGCCTTCTCGATGGCTTTCCACATTATTTTTGAGACAGGGTCTCTCAGTGACCTTGGAGCTCAGTGTTTGAATTGGACGGGCTGACCAGCAAGCCCCTCAGGCCTCCAGGTGCTGCCTCCTCAGCACAGGGATTATAAGTGTATCTTGCTTATGTCTTAACTGAAGTCTCCAAGCTTGCACAGCAAGCACTTTACCAGCTAAGCCATCTCCCCAGTCCTTTGTGTAGTTTTAAAAATCATGTATATTTTACATAAGGGAGAAAACACACTATTCATGAGTCTACCTTATTTTGTTTAATATAATGCTTGTCAGTCCTACCAAGATTTTTTCTGCAAGAAATACATATTTTATTCTTCTTTACAGCTCTACAATACCCCATTGTTTCTATGTAACACACTTTCTTTATCCATTTATGCCATTGATAGGCTCCTAGGCCGATCCCATAGCTTGTCTAGTGCTGCAGTAAACATGGATATGCAGGTATCTCTACTGTATGCTGCTACAGATTCCAGAAGCTGTATATACCCAGGAGTGGTGTAGCCCGATCATATGGAAGTTCTATTTTTAGGTGTTTTGTTTTGAGGAACCTCCATACTGATTTTCCCTGTGGTTATCCAGCTTACACTGCCATTAAGAGTATAAGTATTCCTCCCCACTATCCCTCCCCATCCTCACCAGCATTCAGTTGTTTGGTTGATGTTAGCCATTCTGCCAGGGTAAACTAGCAGAGCAGGCCCGCAGACATGACCAATGAAGGCTGCTGCTGCTTCAGCAATGACCAGGACACTGTAGCTGACATCTCTTTCCAGGACCACACTGCCTCAGCCTTCCTCTTTTGGAAATGCCCGATTTCTTAGGCACCCAGGATCCACTGGGCTCTCAAACAAATACCCCCAGATTTAGACTAGGTGCCGGAACCTTGCTACCAGTGCTACCGAAAAAAAATCAGTATCTGCCAGAAAGGACAGGCAGACACTTCCCACGTCAGGCTTCCATCTTTCTGTAGAGATCCTTCTTTGATGGAAGGGAGGTTATACATGGAGGTGGAGAGTGGGGGAGCCTGATTAGTCTCTCAGTAAGGCGTGACCAGAGGTCAGAACAGAACTGAAAAAGACAGTTTCTCCTCCACACATACCTTCTCTAGCCACCATTTCACCTGTTCTTTCACCTGATACTGAGTGAATTCTCATCACGTCTAGTTGCTTTGTGATTGTTTAGAAGGCTGGCAGATTGCAGGATGAAGGGCAACAGGACAGCCAAGACCTGTGCCAGGGAGAATCCAGTATTGACAATGTAGCAGAAGTCAGAAGCCTCTAACCAGACCAATGACTCACTGCAGTGAACACTTGTAAGTAAATCTGTCTGGGCAAAGGGGTGCACTGTGACACACCATGACACATTGCAGCTTCCACAGCAAGGCTTTTTTCTTTTGTGGGAGGAGGTTGCAAGGGCACGGGGTGGATAGGAGGGATAGGGAAATAAGTGGGATCGGGATGCATGATGCGAAATTCATAAAGAATCAATAAAAAGTTTTCTTTTTAAAAAAGAAGGCTGGCAGAAGCTGGGTGATGGTGGTGCACACCGCTAATCCCAGCACTCCAGAGGCAAAGTTGGAGGCCAGCCTGGATTACAGAGTGAGTTCCAGGGCAGCCAGAGCTACACAGGGAAACCCTGTTTCAAAACAAACAAACAAACAAACAAACAAAAACAAAAAAGAAGAAGAAGGCTGGGGTGTGCAGAGATGGAGATGGTGACCTGCTTTAGATGATGGGTGTCCATGTCTCTGGATCAGACTTAGTAAGCCACGTGTCTAAATTTGGAAGCAATTTTGCAATGGAGGTGTGGAAACATCTTTTTTTTTTTTTTGCACACACCACAGGAAGCGGGTTTCTATAAAACCATCCAAATGTAAAATAATTTAAAATGTGTAGCGATCAGAAGGATTGCATCTGCAGAGGGGAGATAGGCTGCCAGGGCAGCCGGTCCTTGAGTGGCATCTGGAGGACGCATGACACCTAGCAGTTGGTTCCTTACACGTAAGTGCCAACCAGAACCATCAAGCATTTTGCTATGATGAACAAGGAAGTCAACCACACTTACCTTAATATGAATAGCACCAGAAGGACAAATTATAAGTCTCTTCTTCTCCACCAAGAACACAGACGTAATCACTTGAGGGCACAAAGATATTTATAAAATTTCAGAGCCCAGAATTCAAAATTCTGTTGAATGAAAAAGCACAGCTGTCTAAGTACCAATACGATCCACACTGGCAATGCTCCGATCCTTCCCCTCCTCCTCCTCCTCCTTCCTCCTCCCCCTTACCCATCCCTGCACCAGTACCAGCTCCTGTCGCTAGCCAGCATCTCCGCTGTGAATTTTAACATCAGTTATGTAGGTGTGTTTTCCTTCTGAGATGAAAAAAAAAAGCTGAAAACTCCATTCCAATTATCTCTCTCCATAATGAAAAAAAAAAGAACTGTATTAGCTCAGCATGATTAATTCTTTCATTTAAAACAACCCGCCTTCCTCTTAGCCTCATGCCCTTTGACACCTCCAGGACCTCTTTTCCCCTCATAGACACACTGTCCGCGTGTGTTGCCATGACCACTGACCTGACTTCCCTGTTTCCCCTTCACTCCTCAGCAGCTATTGGTAATTCCTCCAGGTCTGTCCTAATAGTGAAGCCTTCGTGGCCAGGCCACCACTTTCCCCAAAGCTCAATGGACACTCTGTCCTTATTATTATTGCTTTCAGCAGATTATGAAAACATTCCCTTTGGCTCTGAGACCGTGCATTCAAGCCAAGCATTTTCTTCTACCTCTTTGGTAATTGGTCCCGGCTATTTAAAGATGTAATAAAATGCTAAATGGAACTTTGCCTGGTGTCTCTAAGTTAGAACCTAAAGCTAAAGTAAAGTACCCCCGTATTTAGGAAAACTGTGACTTGCTAGAAAAGAACCAATCTCCTGTACCCCTTGGTCATCTGTGTGTGTTGCTGGAGTTATTGTGATAAACTGCTGCTGGCTTTTCTCCATCTAGAGAGGGTCAGCGCTTTGTCCTATCCCCCAGGAGATAACAATAAGTCAGTACTCAGGGTCATGAAGGGCTGATGGCCCTGGCCTCTGACCCCTAACTGGATGTTTGAGCAATGTCTTTATCCAGAGACAAACAAGACCTTAGAGCGAGCACCTGAAATGCTCTAGGAGCCGAAAAGTCTGTGATGCTGAAAGCAGAAGCTGGCTGGGAGGGGAGAAATAGTGGAACAGCCTAGTACCAAAAGTCTGGAATGTTCCGTTGGGTTGCCTGGAGTCTGTCTATAGGGCTGTTCAAAAGATTCTAGTTCTCGCCACCTGATGTATGGACTGCATACTCTCATCTTATGCAGTAAATTGAGTATATAGCCTGTCTCTTGATCCATGGAGTATGGACAGGAAGGGAGGCACCACTTCAGTTCAAGAGACTGAAGCGGGCCAGGATTCCTCATTTCCCATACGCAGTAGACATCACAGGAGCTGGGCAAGAGACTGATTCCCAGTTAGTCAGAGCTCTGACAGACATTGCTAAGTGGAGCCTTGATGCTCACTCCATGGGCCTGGAATGCAAGCGAGGGAAAATTACTGACATTCAGGAACTGTTGTGGCATGACCTCACCCAAACTGATCAATCCAGGAAGGCAACATGCTCTTGAAAGGACCCTATCCAAGAAGTAGGATCTGTTGGGGCTAGTTGTTGCCCCAGCTGGGGGGGTGAAAATGGGAGTTGAGGGTAATTCTGAGAGGTTGGTTAGATAATGGTTTCCTGAGTCATGATGTAGTTTTGTTCGGTGTCCTGGTGTCAGTATTTTCTATATGTGAAAATAGAAAATCTGTATAACTATGTTGTCCCAGGAGGGGTGTTTTGAATGAGATGGTGGAAGAAAGAAACTTTTTTTAAGTGTCCAGTCAATGTGATAAGCAAACTCTGACTCCTGAGGAAAAGGAGAGAGGGAGGGAGGGGGAAGAGGGGTGGGGGGCGGCGCTTCACCAAGTCTCACAGTGCACAGGCTGCTTGCTTTCATCTTCTTACATGCTGGCTTCAGGTTTCCGAGTGGTGTTCATTCCCAAACCTGTTCGTCAGGCACTGCCATTGTCTCCTGCTCTGAGTTGAGGAAGTAACAAATGGGCATTGATACTCGAGGAGCTCATGAGACACAGGACTCCACGCCAGCTGACTTATCACCTATCTCTGTATTTCTAAGCCTATCCCTCTTCAGGGTTGCTGTTCATTTCATCATTCAAGGAGGAAAATTTGACTTTTGCCATTTGACTCCAAACAGTTAAGCACCAAGTGCTCTCTACCTTGCTTTCTAATTGTTTTTTTTTTTAATTTTGTTTTGAGGGTTGTTTCTGTTGTTGCTATTGTTTTGTTTCATTTTGGGGTTATTTGGTTGGTTGGTTGGTTGGTTGGTTTGGTTTGGTTTTTTGAAACAGTTCCCACTACGTAGTTCCTGGCTGTCCTGGAACTCATATGTAGAGGCTGGTCTCAAACTCACAGAGATCCACCTGCCTCTGCCTCCCAAGCACTGCAATTAAAGGTATGCATTACCACCACCTGGTCCTCTAACTATATTTTAAAATTTCATTTGTTTACTTTGTGTGTGGCTGCATGTGGGGAAAAGTGAGAGGACAATTAAAAAAAACTCTCTCCTTCTACCATATGGAGCCTGGGAATTGAACTCAGTTCATCAGGCTTGGCAGCAAGTGCCTTTATTGACTGAGGCATCTCAATGGCCCCTGACTTGATTACTAAGTTTGTCTCACATAGTTCATCTTTCTCCATCCTCACTACATGGCTTATTGACCAAGGCAACCTTCTCTCTCATTTGAAGTACTACAGTGGTCTCTACCTGTATTCTTTGTTTCTGAGATAATTTGTTGACTCTTCTTGTTGGTGAGACATTTTATGAATTCTTTTTGTTGGTATCCTTATAAAACAAAAGTTATAAAACAAACATGTAGTGCGTGTTCTGGGTGCTAGAATTTAACACTAAACTCTGAGGATAGTATCCCAAATACAGAACAAAATCCTAGGGCTAGGGGTGTAGCTCAATGATAGAGCACTTACGTAGCATGCTAAGGTTCAGGGTTCAATATCCATCCCCATTAAAAACAAACAAAAAACCTAGACCTATAAAACCAAAGTCTTCCTTATGAAATTTATATTCAGTGAGCAGAAAGCAGATATCAAGCCAAGAACGGGTTCCATGCCAGGCGTTAAAGGATTCAGAAGCTATAAATATTCAGTAAAATATCCATAGGATTTGTGTGTGTGTGTGTGTGTGTGTGTGTGTGTGTGTGCGCATATCTGTGTTGCATTAGTAGAAATACAGTATAGTCATTCAGTAGGAATAGGAGAATGGGCTTTAGTCTGTAATGAAAAAACAGATGGGCGGGGCTGAAGAAACAGCTTAGTAGTGGGGTGCCTGCCTATAAGGCTTGAGGCTCAGGGCTTGATCCCCAACACATAAATACAAAGACAAATAGACTATAATCTGTTTATGCTTTTGCATCACACACTTGAAATGAACCTAAGGATTTGCCTAGGTTGGGTTGTACAGGAGACATCTCCATGCTACAGGCCTCATGCCCACCTTCCATATTAATGATGCCCTTAGGAGAGGAATCATGTGCTGGCTTCAGGTTTCTGTAATAAGTAGTAGAACTTTCTGGGGAATGAAAAACATGTATGTTTCCATACACCAACCACAGACTTGTAACTAGTGTAAATAGATCAACTTTGTTGTGAGGCTGGAATTCAAACTTACAGCCTCATGCATACTAAGCAAGAGCTCTACCCCTGGGCTACATCCCCAGCACAGGTATTTTTTTAATTCACTATTTTTTCTTAACCTAACAGATCACTTCCTCGATAGAGCACATGAAAGCTTTCTTTTCTGGTGGTTTTTTTTGAGTTAGCTTATGTAGGAATGTAGTATCTTGATGCCTGACTGCTCTTCTGCCCTTGGCAAACAATGAAGGATCAGGTTTGCCCATGGTGGATAAGGGAGAAGTGAGGCTGCATTCATTCATTGTAAAAATGCTGTGTTTGCCACTGCAATCAGCAACACCCTCATCTGGAGGTGGGAAACATAAGTTATGACTTATTATTTCTTTAAAGATTTATTTAATCATGTATTTTATGTGTATGAGTACTCTGCCTTCACGCACACCAGAAGAAGGAAAGAAGGAATCTGATCCCATTACAGATGGTTGTGAGCCATCATGTAGTTGCTGGGAATTGAACTCAGGACCACTGGAAGACCAACCAAGTGCTCTCAACCACTGAGCCATCTTTCCAGTCCCACTATGACTCATTATTTTACCCAGTGACTGCGGGTAAGCAGAGAAGTGCTGTGCTTCTGAGAGTCCTTCAGAGATCCCCATGTCAGAGCTGGCATCATCTGGACTGTCCCTGGACACTTCCTCAGGGGAAGGGAGAGGAAATGGATAATTAGAGTCTTTTACTGCCTCAGCCAGAAAGTGACATACCACTTCTGCTCTATTTACTTGCTAGCTACATGACCTGGATTATTTAGGAGATGGGAATGGGCAAGAAGTAATGCCAACTACCTAAATCGTTAGGCATTTTGTTCAGAAAGCCTGCCTCATTGACCGCCCTCGCTCCTTAGCCTAGGTAAGTGCTACTGTGACATGCTTCCTTGGCCAATGTCCTCCTCCTCTGTATCATATTGCACACATTATTATGCTAACTAATCATTGTCTAATCATCCTGGGTCTTCTCCATGCCTAAGACTCCCTCTACTTCACCTGGCTAACTTCTGTTTCTCCTATAGAACTCAAATTACTTTTAGTACTCACAAGGAAACACTGGTATGAACTCCAAATACCCCTGCTTTTTTGCACTCACTCTTCTTCTATAATAGCACCAGGGTTCCATAGGAACTGTGAGGTCAGACATGTTAAGGAGGGTAATTGTGTTTTGAATAAGAAGGTCTATCAGAGGCCCTTATATTTGAATACTTGGTATCTAGTTGATGGAACTGTTTGGGAAGGATTAGGAGGTATAGCCTTGTTGGAGGAGATGTTTCACAAAGCCCAAAGATGGGCTTTGAGGTCAACATCCCATGCCATTTCCAGTAAGTTTCCCGCTGTCTCATGCTTGTGGACCAGATGTAAGGTGTCAGCTACTGCTGCAAACTATGCTTACCCACCTGCTGCCATATTCTGTCATGATGGCCATGGACTCTAACCCTCTAAAACTGTGAGCCTCCAAATTAAATGCTTCCTTTTATAAGTTGCCTTGATCATGTCACAGCAATAAAAAAGTAACTAAGACAAAAGTTGGTACTAGGAAATGGGCAACTCTTGTGATAGACCTGACAGATCATGCTGGGATTTTTTTTCAATGTGAAAGATTTGGGGATTTCGGACTAGGAACAGTTGAATGCTATTAGTGGGGCTTAACAGGCAGTCCTGGTAGGAGCTTGGAAGTCAGTAGTAATAAGAGCAATGTGGATAATGGAGGTTCAGCTCAAGAGGTTTCAGAGGGCTCAATATTAGCAACTAGACTAGAAACCATTCTTGTGATATTTTGGAAAATAATGTAGCTGGTTTTTACCCTTGTCCTAAGAATCTGCCTGCGGCTAAATTGAAGAGTTTGGAATTAATTTCATTAGTAGAAAAGATGTTAAGATAGTCTAATATCACTTGATTACTAGTAATCACTCATGC